GTATCAAAACAATTTCACTGAGAGTAAAGTCCGAAACTCTAAATTGAAACATCCAAATACAACAATGATCCAATAATGTTTGACGTCGAATCACTGTCTTATCCACAACCACAAGTAGTAACAAATATTAGTTTAAAACGATGTGACATGCACGGGTAGTTGGTCCGTTCTTTACTGCCTTGAATTTTGATATTTAAAAACAATCTGTGTCGTTATGCGCAGCTGTGCCATTCGACACCGAAGAAAAACCTTATCATCTTATAAAGATTACCTTTGCCATGCAGACCTGTCTTGGAATGGGATCAGAGTGAGAGATACTCGGATAACATCTCTTTTAAGGTTTCTTACTCCGACGTATGGTTTCAAATCTTGTTTTTGTAGTTGGTTGTGAATGGGATGGTTAAGATAAGTGTCCCGAGGCCTTTGTAAGGCGCATAATAGATGATCTCTTTATTTTGAAGCTTAGTCATGTTATTGGGTCACTGAAAGGGTACTGGTTCCTCATTTTGAAAATTTCGAAATTGTAGAAGAAAGATATGTCGCAAGTTCTACGATTTCAAATAATTGTGAGCATTCATATATAGCCGTATATAAGGCGGCCAATTTCGTCGGGGTAATAACCTCGCTTGTCATAATGACCGCTATTCATAACGTGGAGCTTCCTATACGTGGAGGACCGCTATTCATAAAACGGAAAGGGGGTCAATTTTCATCGAAAGGCATATATAAGGACCCCAATTTATGAAATTATTTTAAAAATAATTTAAAAATAAAAGATCTAGATAATATACATTCTCAGATTTTATGGGATAATAATTTGCCAATGTGTGTTTTGCGTGTCTGCTAAAGCATGTGCTACTATGCTTATCAACTAGGGGACCTACGCCCTTAAGTCATAAATGACAGTAGTGAGGATTAATTCCCCTCAAAAGGGCGCTAATATAGCACATCGACACGGTTTTGATCATGGGACCTCACAGTTATGAGGTCATTGCTTTGTCACTGAACCATGACTGTACGCAGCGGGGGCTAGTGTAGGGGGCAGTTTCAGTGAATAAAAAAAACACACAGAATAAGCAATAAATTTTCAATAATTTATTGCATTTTACCCCGGTCCCCAACATAAAAAAAAATCCTCTGTGTGCCCATGCCTTGAGCCATAATGCTTGGCCGTCCATATAAAAAGATTCCTTGCTTTCATAGAGTCGAAGTAATAGGAATGAGAAGATTTTGTTCATGTGCTTCTTTTAATAATGAGGGCAAAATCATCTTTATCATAGAATAAGTACCGCTGAGATATTATGAATGGTGAGGATAATGGAGCGTATTCTGGTTGTTGAATAGGTTCGCAATTAAAGTAATGAACAATGCGTTCGAATTATTCAGAACTGCCTAAAGTTTTTAAAATAGCCAATTAAACGAATTAAAAACAAACATCAAATTAATGGGCGCCTTACATCTTGATAATGGGGAAAGGTATGGTCCAATGGGCACATCAGGACGAAAATAAACCATAAGATCAGCGTAATTTTCTTCTTGGATGGACACCATTTTTTCAATCAAAACAGGGGCACGTTTTCATTGCTCGAGGGTATTAATTGATTTGGGGGAATATCGGAGGTTGTACGCCTCTGTCATACCAAAAATGGGTATTCGTCCCTATTTTTGGGTAACACCTTTTTTGAAAAAAATGTTAATCAAGACACACTGGAAAAAATAGGATAATCGTCTTTTAATGCTTTCATTTTTTCGCATGTGATACAAACGTAAACACTGTTTTACCGAAATCTGACACAAATGACTTTTGACATGGCATTTTTAAACCAAGGTTGCTAGGTTAAGCGTGTGTAGATAAATGCAATCAAAGTATCATTTCAAAAAACATATTTCTCCTACTCTATATATAGGAAGACGATATTTGCATACAGCTCATAGTTAACTCACAATAACCGTTTGTTTTGGGAGGTTTCATTTTTACTTGGCAGTTTCTTCTACAAAAGCATGCTATGCATAGTCACTGATAATTATATCTTGACTCTATTTATATTCTCAAAAATGTATTATTCATTATAATGTTGTTATTATCATTATATATATCTGTTATTATTATTGTTATCATCAATATTATTCTTATTATTATTCTTGTTATTATTATAATTATCATTATTATTGCTATTATCTTCCAAATTGAAAATGACATGTTATTGTAAGTAAACCCGATGTAAATAGGCAAACTTGATACAATAAGGGTTGCCACTATTACAGAATGATTCAATTTCTAGAGTCATTGAAATAGTAGCATTAGTGATTAAATGTTGTTTTGACGTGTATTTATTTAGTTTTAATTCTATTTCTTCTATACCGTCAATTGTGTTCGGGTGAGTAACACGAAGGGAGAAACTCAGCACGTAAGAACGTGTAGTGTAGGAAAGAGAAATTGAGTTTTCATGAAAGACATGCAAAATTTAATGAGGGAAATTGAAAGGAAGAGTGAGAAAATGTGAGAAGATATTTGTTTTAAAGTGAAGAAAGAGATGTATGATAGAGTGAAAGAACTTGAAATTAAGACTCACATAAAGATTGCGAGAATATGAGAAGTTGTTGAAGGGAGATAATTGTTTAATGAAAGCAAGTGAGATCATTTGAAAGAGAGAAAAAAGGAGTGAAAGAATGTGAGAAGATAATAAATAGGAGACTTTTAAAAGATATAGACATATAACAATTTAAGTGGATTTGAAAGAAAGAAAAAAAGAGTGACAGATTGTAAAAGTTCACAAAGGGAGAGAATTTTTAAATGAAAGAGAAAAAAATTTAAAAACTTGTAATAAACGATATAAATGAGTGAGAGAATTTGAAAGGAAGAGATGTTCATATAAAGACTGAGAGGATGTGAGGACATTAAATTGAAATTAGAAATCTTCTTCGCGTTACATACAACCCAGCTTCGGGAAAGATGTCAAAATAAATTAGCACTTTCTACTATAAACAACTCAACAGTTTCTTGCTTTAATTTAGATCAAATGAAATTACATCAAACTCAAAAGATATTTCAATAATAAGTGCAATTCAAAAATAGAACAGATATTAATTAAAATTGATATCAATCATCATTTGCTACAACAAACACCGTTATTTACTTTCAAATTCACATTCATTAAGTCAACGAAAGAACCTAGCTATATAATATTGCATATTTACATGCGTCCTTACTAAACAACACTAACATTTGGGTAATCAACCTTTTTTGTTAAGTACTGCTATTCAATATTTTTCATAAATTCTTTTACACTGGACATAGAATGGTACGGTTAAACACACAAAATTAATACCAAACAGACAGGATAAACAAAGACGAGACAATGATCCAAATATAGATCATTTGACAGTTGAATATTGGTTACAAAATATTTGATACAACTCGCATTTTACCAATGATCAATAGGTATAGAGCAATCATTGATTAACCAAAATATTACATACTCCAGACGTGAATATTAGACCTTAAGGAGGCAAGCCCCCCTTTTTTTTTTTTTTTTTACTCCTTAGTTATTTTCATGTGTGTAGGCTACTTCATCATGCACCTTGTTTTTTTGTCAATACCCCTCCACTTTTTTGAAAGCTAGAAGGGGGTTAAAAATATATTGTCCACAAATTCGGTAGTCCATGTAACACTGCTATTGTATTGGGTTTTGAAGGTTTTAATGTAAATTAACTAAACCATCAAAGGATTCAATGCCCATTCCTTATCGTGAAATTACACGGAATTGAGTTTATTATGAAAAATGCAATAACTTGAGTTCTGATTATTAGATTTGCATGATTTTTTTTAGAATTATGTATCTTTGAAGATTACAACAATATGATGAAAGTTCTTTTTTGCATGGAACCCGTACAGGTGAAGTTGTGTATAAAAATCTTTTCTGAATTTCTCATTATTTTGATTGTTGTCAAATTAATAATTTTTAAAGCAATCATAGACTGACCATAAAGAAGTCAGAGAATTAATCGAAGCCATCAAAACCTAAATTACACTCCATGTTGCGAAGCTATGATTTTCAGGGTCATGAATTTGAATGACCATTTTTGCTTAGGCTTAAGGCAAATTTGCCTAGGTGCACATTTTTGTGTGTAGATCAACTCATAAGCTTTCCTGAAATAAATAGTTTGTAGGGCGTACAGGTACAGACTATGAATTATGTGCTTGATTACATACCGGTAGTCGTTTCTGCCCGGTAATAGCTAGGCACCTGCCACCTTAAATTAAGACATATTTCGAAAATAAATCCTACGCACTTCATAAGTTTAAAACATTCACTTGATCACCAAAAATAATGCACCTGTACATATGTGTATCAATGTCTTGCCATAGGACGTTAGTGTTGGGCTGGGATTCGAACCCTCTACCCTTGGATTGAAAATCAAGCGATTGAACCTCCTATACCACGACACCTCCACACGTCAATTAGTTTTTTTCCGGAATTTCACTGTATTTTCTAAGGTTAAAAGAGAATACTCCACAACCTAAATATATACAGATACAGTTTCATCTAGAGATTTCAGGACCATCATTCAAAGAACATTGCTATAAGAATTTAAGATTCACATGCAAAAAGTTCATATGCAGAGCACCATTCAACCAACGCAAAGCTAAACAAATTTAAGATTCAAATGCAAAGCTCTGGGGGGTGTTTCACAAAGATCCTAAGTAGAACTTAACACTAAGTTAGACTTAAAAATTATGGACAGCCATTGGAGCCTTAAAATAAAATATATTCAAAAGCAGAAATTCAAGTATTTTAGACTTTTTATGAATTCCACATCCAGAACATGAAGTCTCCTTGATGATAGAAAATATGAATGATTTGAATCAACATTTTATGCCTTTCAAAAATAACTTTTACAAAATATTTTCAAAGATGCTAATGGCTTTCCATAATATTTAAGTCCAACTTAGAGATAAGTTCAACTTAGGATCTTTGTGAAACACCCCCCAGGTATACAGAGCACCATTCCACCAACGCAAAGCTATATGAATTTAAGATTCAAATACAAAGTTCTCATATACAGAGCACCATTCCACCAACGCAAAGCTAAACAAATTTAAGATTCAAATGCAAAGTTCTCATATACAGAGCACCATTCAACCAACGCAAAGCTATATGAATTTAAGATTCAAATGCAAAGTTCTCATATACAAGGCACCATTCAACCAACGCAAAGCTAAACAAATTTAAGATTCAAATGCAAAGCTCTGGTATACAGAGCACCATTCCACCAACGCACAGCTATATGAATTTAAGATTCAAATGCAAAGTTTTCATATACAGAGCACCATTCAACCAACGAAAAGCTATATGAATTTAAGATTCAAATGCAAAGTTCTCATATACAGAGCACCATTCAACCAACGCAAAGCTATATGAATTTAAGATTCAAATGCAAAGTTCTCATATACAGAGCACCATTCAACCAACGCAAAGCTATATGAATTTAAGATTCAAATGCAAAGTTCTCATATACAGAGCACCATTCCACCAACGCAAAGCTATATGAAATTAAGATTCAAATGCAAAGTTCTCATATACAGAGCACCATTCAACTAACGCAAAGCTATATGAATTTAAGATTCAAATGCAAAGTTCTCATATACAGAGCACCATTCAACCAACGCAAAGCTACATGAATTTAAGATTCAAATGCAAAGTTCTCGTATATATACACATAGCACCATTCAACCAACGCAAAGCTATACGAATTTAAGATTCAAATGCAAAGTTCTCATATGCACGGTACGCTTGTTGAGGTTTTGGCTTCGGTCTGTCCTGGCTCCTCTCAGTCTCCACATTGTCATACACGAGTTCGGCGGCGCTAGCTGCATCCTGCGAATCTGTGACCTCATACAGGTTCTCTTCCGGGTCAAGTGTGTAGTCGGCCTCTACATTGCCGTACGTGTGGTCCTCTATCGGGTATGGACGCTGCTCATAGTTTTCAGTGTGCAGGTATTCACGGATTACATCGTAGATGAAAGCATATTCCTCCTAAATAAAATAGTCAGGGAATGTTCTAGTTTACTACTTGATATTCATTCACATACCTATACAGGGATATAGGCAGATGAAGATTAGAATTTAAAGAGAAGGTTGAGTTCTGGGAAGAGGTGAAAAATAATTTGTGAGCGTTATCATTCTTATTATGCAAGTGTGGAAGAACATCAGATAAGACATGTTCCCTGAAAAGCATGGCTCTTCAAATGCCTTTATATTCTAAATATGTCATGTAACTCGTAAAACTCGAGGGGTAGGTTTTTTACGCCACGTGTACGTGTAGTCCCATATACATCTTTATGTGTACAGTGTTTGTAACTTTACCAAGACTTGGCCATATTTCTTATCATTTTGATGATTCCAGAACCTTACAATACACACAAATTCTTATATGCTAGATGATCCACCTTTTCTGGTCGATTTCACACCGTTTCTTTCACAATGCAATCGCATGACCAGAACTCAACTTCATCTTTAAACAATAATAATAATAATATTGGCATTTATATAGCGCTCTTACAGACATACATGTGTATCACAGCGCTTTACAACATATTATTATTACCCCGGTCATCGGATTCAGGCTTACCCGCACAAGGAGGAAAACGTACGCATATATTTTCACAATGCATGAATTTCTTAAGACTCAGAATTTGTATTCCTCTCATGTAAACAAAAAAGAAACGAAACAGTCATAGATGATTAGACACCAATTAAAATATTTCGAATATCTATTCATATTTAACTTCTTCCACTGCATACCATAGCACAACGAGAAAGAATGTTTACATGTCGCAATTATAGATCGTACCATGGGTGTCGATCCTTACGTAATACCTATTCATCAGGGGGGGGGGTGAATGAATAGATCACCCCCCCCCCCCCCCCTGATGAATAGGTATCAGTTACAGATCGACACCCATGGATGGTACGGAATTATTTTGTTTCTTTATCTAATATCATTTCTGGCTTTATTTTGCTTTTGGAAACCACTAGTTTGTCAGCACACACGCGCTTGTATATAGAGTCTTTGGGGTGGGGAATAGAAGACCAACATGTGTAAAGCAATGAAGCGCGATTGTGCGAATGACATGAATGGTGGTTGCCTATTTCACAACATTACCGCATTTCTTCATAATTCAATATTTTAAAGTTTATATGTTAACAGTGTGCTAAAGAAAGAAATCAGTTTTCTTACCCCGGTTTGAACAGACTGCATCCTGTCAGCTCGCAGCATCTTGACTGTCTGGAAAATATCGACGGAATTTCCCTCAGCTACCTGAGCGATGCACTCCATAGCAGTACATAACACACCTGTTCGCCCAGCACCACTCCTTAAAATCCAAACAAGAGTCAAACATGTTTCAATTAAATTCATTTCATTTCATTTCATTTCTTTATTGTGTCCATATAGGATAATTGTTTATATTTACACTTCAACAAAAGAACATAGGAACAACACATAATTGACAATCATAGGGCCCTGTTTCAGTATAGATTTAATATAATATACATAATCAAGGTTTAATAAGCAATGACTATAAGACTATTTGGTTTACTTATTGTTCACATTTGAATCAAATAAAATTCAATTTTAGTAATATATTTCTCGTAACTGAATATTCCTATTTCATAATGTACTTCTGGTATTGTAAGTTTCTCTCAAGACCCCTTGGTTATAAAGTATTTATACTGTACATAATAGCATCTCCAAGGAAACTGATGGGTCCATATTGCATATATTAAGTGTTGCTATGTCTAACATGCCCCTGGAAATTTTTTCAGTTGCTGGTGGAAATCTTTCTTCAAAAGTTATGCATAAAATTAATAAACAGGATTTTGGCTAAACATTGTAGTTGAGTTTTAAGATGTTTTAATTATTGTCTTGGTTGCGAAAAATATATCACAACAAAATTATTTATTGGCCGATCCTGTTTCCATGGAATTCGCACCAAATTGTGATTGTGTAGGATTAGTAAGCATTGCAAAGATACTGGACTTACAAACAATGAACAAGAATGGAGAATTCTTTCTTGCTGTTAGTAGAACCTTTGACAGCACGGATGAGCTTGAGCAAAGATCTAGCCCCTGATTGTTGATCTGATCCATGTTTAGGCCATCCATGGAACTGGTACTGAGTGACGGTGTGACTGGCCTGAAAGAAAACGAAACCAAATAATCCGTGGAAATGGATGTATAAGATATTGCATCTTATCTTTGTGTTCTACCAGAAAAGGTTAATAATGTTACTTTGACTCTGCGCTCACAACACTTTATTTGTCCATGTATAAACAAACAAAAACATTCCAAGACCTCTCAGTATTATGTATTACATATTCAACTTCTGTTCACAGTTGCTCAGTTCCTGGCTGTTTCTTTCACGAGGTCAAACGTTCTTCCATGACTAACTTAGCTTTATCTTTAAGCGTAAGTGCGATATGATATTAACAATGAGCATATCTCTAGATGATTTACCTTCATCAAGTCAAATTGTATCCAGTTGGTAAAACCGTTCCGGTTGAAATTCCTAATGTGGTTTGCTTAAAGTAAATTGGTAGCTCGATCCGTTTACAAAATCATTCAAATAAGGACATCACATCAACATTCCCCACCCCTTCTTAAAAAATTAATATACTTGTAAAAGAAACATATTAATAAGACATACTTTGGAGTTTCTGGAAACTTTAAGTTGCCGAGTGGTCATGTCTCCATCAGATGACGTTGACAAGGTCGAAACTGAAAAGGATCCGAACTGAGCCGAGTCATCGTCAGACCAGTATTGTGCACAGCTCTATAGAAAGAGGAGAGGTAAAGCTATCAAATTCAATATTCAAACGTGTTGAGTATGAATTTTATTCATCCAACATAGAAGCAAATAGTCAGGTCTTAAAGTCGGTTAAATTATTAACCGACCGAATTTTAAAATAGACATGTACTCGCGCTACTACCTTGTCGTTTTGGCTCTTGTCATTCAGCATGACGATAGTGGATGGTTTATATTTGAGGACCATAGACCAGAAATCAGACACAGTGGTTGGCAGCGGCATCTGGGTTGTCATGAAGGTACAGTGGACTCCCTGGAAGATGAAGAAAGAACAGTTTCAATATCAGATAACAACATGAGAACCTCGCACCTACTTCCATTTTCATAAAACGCTATACGAGCTGTCAGTACATATGTCAGTACCTTCGAAGCTTCGGCACCTTAGGCGAAAGAGGCTCACTAAATGCACTGCAGCCCCACCCAGTGATACATCGTATACACGACTAACGACCAAGTCTTAATTCCAACATAGTTCATAGTACACATAAAAATTCTTATATCTTTTATTTAACATTTAGTGTTATAATGGCGCCAGTACATTTTAAAAGGGTATAAATGAATCTACAATTCAACGACAGTAGGTGTCACTATTTATTGATTCATCATAATAATTATGACATCCATCAATATGAGCGCACATTATACAGTTGCCAAATTAATTTTGTAAGCTTTTGTATTAAAACAAGGCACTAAAATGCGACGAGGCAGCTGAAACGAAAATTGTTTGTGCTAACCATCAATAATATCAATAATACCGATAACAGTAAGTATGGCAATTGCCTACGCTCAAGACGTCTACTGTGTTTATCTTGAATACGAGTCAAATGAAGAAGTAAACGGTATTAAGATCACAGTTTTTTCTGACACTAAATTACATGGGTAAATTGAATCACTTGACTCAGAAAGAACTTCTCACCTTCATGTAACTAGCATTGATGTAATCATGCTCTGGGGAGTCTAGTATCACACGGTTTCTCTCCACTAGAATGGTATAGAAACAGGAGAAAATGTTAAACAGTGTGACGCTACAATTAAAAGTATTTTCTTTCATGGCGATATTGGATATTAGTTACGTATGTATTCAATTTTTGCTTTTTGAGTCTATTTATATACATGACAGGCATACGAACGGATCCAGGTAGGAATGGGGTCAACCGCCAGATTCATCCCCGCCTTTTAATAAGAGAAAATCTTATATGATATCACCAGCTCCCCGCCTTTAAATTACATTTCACGTATTCAAGCTTTTAGTATCAATCCCCTAACCCTCGCACCAACCCACCTTGCACAGTCTCCTGACAATCCTGAATTATGGTGTTGTTTTATGTGCTCTTGACATCATCATACTTCTCACCACGGCGTTCTATATCTCCTTAGTCAGAAATCTACGAATTACATACGTGCGCCAACAAAAATGTGGTCTCAACATTGGTGTGGGTGTGAGTATGTGCGTGTGTGGTAGTGATGGGGAAAGGGAACCGTTCTGTTGGTCAATTGCTGTGAATGATCTCCATATACTTTGTACAGGAGCTAAATGGGATCGACATTTGGGGTGGGATGGCAAAGAATCTTAAATGAGGAGAGAAAGAGTCTCTGACGGAGTGGAGATGCAAAGTTGTGTTAAAAAAAGCATATTAGAGAGAGAATTATTTCATAACTACGGTGATTAGAGTCCGGAATCGTATTTGTTTATTCCACAAAATGTTTTAAACTGTTAAGCATTTGGTTTCCTATTGTTTATGGAAAATAATTTGTTTGTATCCTAACATTTACTTACATGGTACGTTGTTTCCGTATCTATTCTTGGAAAGATTATCTGGAGTGAGTCCGGATCTTGTTTGGGAAGCTGGAGGATCTGGACAGAGGCTCTGCAAAGTCTGATTAAAATAAGAGAATATATTATATGACGTTTTATTTACTTTACGAATTACTTCAATAATCATCCACTTTAATTCTGGTATATTTTTCACGCATGCAAAAATATAGATTCAGCTTTAATACTAGCTACGTTCATACTTCGCATTTTATGCACCCCAGGGGATTCTTAGGGTGTTAAGAAAGTCTTGTTATCTTGGCTTAAGCCTAGCTGCCTAAAGGTCCTGAAGGCAATCAAGACGGTACAGTTACTTCCTAGTACTAAGTATCCATTCACCAAACGTAAGGCTGCGAGTGGGATTCGATAGAAATAAAAAATAAACATTCATTTGATTTACAGTTCCGTGATATACGGATCACGACATCCCTAACACTTTCATCGTAAGAGAGCAAGGGCTGGTTTGTTAATAGGATCTTTTCTCTTTTTCCATAAGCTATTTCCACTGGGCCCAGGCCATTCTGAAAAAGAAATTTCGTTGAAACTAAGATATAATGCCCCCCCCCCCCTTCGCTCTCTCGCTCTTTCTTTCTGCCTCCCGTCCAGATTTTGTGAACCTTCCGTCAACGTAAAGTGTACAATGAACTTACTTGGAACCATATAATGGCTCATGATAAAGGTCACAAGTTTTTCATTCTAAAAGATAAAAGAAGAAGAAGGCTATATTAATGTAGAGAGAGGTGGAGTGAAAACTATATAGGGCTCCTGTGTGTGGAGTCGATCTTGGCAGACCACCTGCGAGAGATAAATAAAGGACGTAACTGTCAGTAGACATTCATTAATTATCAAATTCTGATGATGATTGGTATGTGTTACCTGGAACTCCTTGCTCATCTTGGACCGTCCATTTCCATCAACCGAAGTGTGTAAGTCTTGTAGATGATCAGTGAAATGAATGACAGGGATCAGGGTATTCCTCCAGAGAAGATCCTCAAGGACAGCCCCGTAGATGAAGGCATACTGCTCCTGTATTCATGTAAGGAACAAATCCTTCAAAAACATTATCAATTCCATCTCATCCAATAGAAAAATTTTGATTTTCGACATACGAGAATACATGTACATCAGAATTAATGAGTAGAACAACAATTTTGTATGCTAATTACTTGTTAATAATCTTGATATTCAATCCTTTCCCTTTGATATTTGTTGATTAACATCTAAAATAAAGAATAAAGTCTTCAAGATGTTCATTGGTAAAGAGGGATTTTCAATCATTCAAGATTTAAATAGTACCTACGAACTTTGTTTTATACGTCATGGAAAAAAAAACATGGCCCGTAAATCAACGCTGCTTACATGTATATGCATAGTGATATTGTTTTTAATGCCACATATGTCACATAGAATAATCAAAATGCCAGTCTCCGCAAAAATATCTACACATTATATTGAAATCAAGCGGTTTAAATTCAAAAGATGGTGTGTCAAACGGTAACAGCAGTTGGTGTATGTTTTTAGAGGTAACAGACCTTTGTTTGGACCATGTATGGTCGTTTCCGTCTGATGTTCGTCACGAAGTTGAAGACATCTACCATTCTAGTTTTCTTGGCGTGAGCTACGACGCTATCAATACTGATCACCACTCCTGTTCGTCCAACACCAGCACTGGATCGAAAAATAATAATTATAATTATTATTATTATTACTTATACCGTGCTTTTCCCATCAGGCCCAAAGCGCTTACAGTTAATGAAAATAACATAAATACATGAAATAAGAAAAACAATCTTACAACTACAAACTGCAAAAAGGTAATAACTGATGGAGACTCCCTAATTCTAAGTGGTTGATCATTCTAGTATTGATAATGATCAAATAATCGGTCATGTTGTTGAATTGTGATTTTTAAGTATAAAGTTGCATAAGGATGTCCACGCACACTAACTACTGAACGATAAACCAAAAGTGAGCAAAATATTCAAGCAATATGAATTGAAACTTGCGTAAGTGTGGAACACAAAGTTTACCTGTAGTAAAGCCCGAGTATTGAAATCTACTGTTTTCATTCCTTATTCTCACACTGTTGTTGTATTACTTAAGGAATTTAACATTACCACTATCTTAAAAACTTTCGAAAAAAATAAGCCATATTATCAGCCTTAGCCGATTTCAATAGCCTTGTGCGTTGCCTTTGATAAGGTACGAGCATTAAGATGACATGCTATGTATCCGAACGTGATTTCTAAAAGCAATACAATAAAGTATCAACATGGCTTTTCAGTTGATTCCTTGAAAGTCTTAAAGGCCAACTGCACTACTTGTAGCTACTTGCGCCCTCTATATAACAAGCAATGACTAATCGGTGACCATTGGTCCCCCATGATCCTCTTTTTCTCATGTTAACTGAGAGCTGAGTTGATGAGATAACCACCTGTCCAGTGACCTTGAAGGGCAGTCTAATCCCTCCTATAAACTACGGCAGATAAGCTTTAAAGGGGCTTGTTCCCCGTATTCCAGAGGGTGCTCAAAATACGTACGCGCTGGCGGACGGCGCTATAGCTGCCTATTGACACCAACAGAATACGGCTCTTTAATGGCCCCTTTAATGGTCGTGTTTGTGGGGGGGGGGGGGGGTCGTCGGATATACTCTTAGGTGGAATTGACCAAGAAGCCTACCTGCAATGGATGATCAGAGGATGAGTGTACTGCCCATGATCAGCTTTGACTTCCTTGATGAACTTGAGCAGTGATGAGGTGTGTTTAGGAACACCCTTGTCAGGCCACTCTGTGAAGTGAAACTGAGTGACGGTCCTACAGTCATCACCCTAGTGAGGAGAGCAACACATTTCATGCACAGTGAGAATGAATGAATTTTAATGATACATCAGCTTTTAAACCGATTTCCAAACGTCTTTATCCGTTTTATTGTCAATGGTGTCAACATTTTGCTGTGTTTCCATGCACAAAACTTACTTGTTGATAACCCTGCTTAGAAAAAAAAAAATGAATCATGCCAAGATAAACTTCATGAAAGAAGAATTTATAAAGTAACTTTAAAGAACTTTTATGAATGACTAAAGTACCGTTCTCATATATATTTTCCAAGGGTACGTATGGTACAATCATCTTCATGCTAATAATATGTCAAGTATCATTCGAATGGTTCATCGTAATGGAGGACATTATGAATTTCTTCCCGAAGGAGAGACAGCAAGGCTCACAATGTGACGTGACAATGTATATGCTGATGACTGAACAATGTGACATAACAATGTATGTGCTGATGACTTATGTACCTACCTTTCTCATCGTCATCTTCCTTTTAACTCCACCTGTGCATGCTTCCAGGGACTCCAGTTCCACTTTGAAATTTCCAAATTTCACCGAATCGCCTTGTTTATTAGGCCAATACTGGCGGCATTTGATCTATTTCAAGCAACCAAACAGAAAGTAATCAGATTAAAAAATTATATGTGTGGAAGAGTTCATGTGTAATAATGATAATCATAATAATCTGGATTTATTTAGCGCTTGATTCGAAATACTATCTCTAAGCGCTTCACACATTTTATTACCCCGTTTCTCGGATTCATTCACGCACAATGTGCACCATCTCCACTCCTATGGGAGTATTACTACCATATTATCATCGTGAGGGCATATGGTAATTACTAACACAAAGGCTTTTGTCATCTCACCAAGTCTCCATTTTCTCTCCTGGATGTGGATTAGCAAATGTAGAATGATGAGTTGCCAGTTACATCAGTGCCGTGTCGGGGATCGAACCAACGACCTTTTCATTTCATGCCAAATGCTTAAACTACTCTATAATGACTAAGCCATAGTATAGTTATTTAATAATCAGTCTTTCCTAGAAATATACCTGTACCGATTGCATTGAGCAACACTTTTTTTAAGCATTAAAAACGTCAGTCTGTAAATATCAGTGTTAATGGTATCTAACCGCGGTTGCGTTCAGCAGATCTTTGTAAACTTTAGGTTTACTAAAATCAGTCATTCATGAATTGGAGTACCAGGATAATTTGAGATTCACATTATTTTTTAAGGTGATCATAGTCAGAAATGTCCTGTGATGACCCTGATACCAACATTTCCAAATAAATGACACAAAATTAGGTAAAAGAAAATGGTACCTCTCATGGAACTAAATGCTAGCAACCCAAGTGTTGAGAATAAATGATGAAATTTGTTAAAGCTAAAATATTAGTAATTAAACTGACTTTATTAATAGAAACATTTTATTCATCTGACTTCTAGTATTCGAGTGAAAATACTATTGACTGACCTTATCTCCTTCCTGGAGCTTCGTTACCATGGCAATAGTGGTCACATTTTCCTGCCAGACCATCCTCCAGAAATCATCCATAGACGCAGCGTTGGGTCCTTGAAAAAATATGAATTATGGCTCATCGGAAAATCAAGGTTTCAGTTGCATAATGGGAATGAATAATGTCTCTCTTCAATATACGTTTTGTGTGTATATAAGAATAAAATATTGACTTGAAATAGATTTACCTAAATAATTACGTCTTACAATATGTATTTATAAATTACTCTTTGTTTAATAAACGTGACGGAGAAATTAGAAGGGACATACCTTGTGATGCAATGTAAGCCTTTTCATTGTCAAAACTCTGTAGGTGAAAAAAGAAATAGTTATAGTTGAATTAATAAAAAGTAGATCCAAACGATACTATACATATTATATCTCTGTTCATATCACTTCTTTTTCTTTTTAATCGATCAGAAAAGAAAATCAACAAAATTCAAATCATATGAGGAATTATTTAACCAATGGTGGGATTTATATTACATGTGTGTGCATGTGTGTGTTTGTTGTGTGTGCGGTGCGTGTGTGCGTGTGTGTGCGCTTGTGCATGTGTGGGTGAGTGGTAGTGCTTGGGTGTATGTGCGTGTGTGTGCGTGTGTGTGTGTTTTATTGGGGTTTTATTCTATCATGTCATTGGATTCATATCATCCATACTGGACGCTTCCTTGAACGCTTCCTTCAACGGCGACCCACTTTATAACATCACATGCAACTACATGGTAATGACAATCTATTTACAAATTAAAGTATACATAAATTGATACATGCCACCTTACTTACAGGAATGTAAGAAGCGTTAAAGTAATCGGAATGAGGGATATCGTCGATTACTTCTAACTTCACCCTCGCCGAATCATCTGGATAAACGATAGGGAACAAAAAATAAAGTCAGCTAGTAGCTTTTTTAAGTTCTTTGTTTAGTCATTTAGTAAAGTTCTATGTTTAGTCAATTTCGTCGTTTATCATATTTCGGTATTCTTAGAGTAGCATACAAATTAAAGTGAACATTAAAAACAAAAGCGCTATTTAGGTTTCAAATATAGAGATTTGACTCCGGACAAAAGTTTTCTACTTTTTTTTATTGAAACTGCCTTAAACTTGCAACATCTCTTTACAGACAAACAATTCAAAAACTCATATTCTGAATATAGCATTATGGAACTGATAGCAATCATAGCCATATCAGTACATACATTGGTACGAATTGTGATGCTCTTTTGCAGCGATCAGCGCTACTGTTGCAAACTAATATTATTAAAACAACGATAAATTTTTTTTTTAGGAGCTTCATTGAAGCAAACTATTAGAGCTATCCCTGACAAGTCAACAACATAATAGAGGCCATGTTATTTTGTATACTCACATGGTAAAATGTTCTTGTATCTGTTTTTCTTTAAGTTGATCTCCTTTTGAGCCACGGTCTGAGGATAGATGTCCGGGCCAGGTAAGTCCTAGAAGAGAAAGAAAATATAACTTCAGAAAAAAACTACAAGTAAACATGAAGTCTCGTAATTGTATTCGAGACTAGAACAAAAGGCGGTTGACATTAAATCAGTTTGACTGCACGCGGTATGAAATAAAAAGTCTGCGTTTAAGAAGAGAGAAATGTGGATGAGCATAATGTGAAAATATAATATTATAATGCCCACGGCGATAGACTTCTTAAATGAATTTTCATGTTTCGTTACTAGTCATACCAGAAACCTGGAAATATCATCAGAGGACATTGAATCTCGAATTACATGACATTAATGGAGCAGCGGCTGCTCGGACACACTGCATAGAGCTTGATAGCCAGTGTTCTCAACAGCACAGGAAGACATAAAGTCTACGAGTAGCATACATTTGCGTGCCAAAAGAATTTGTCAAGAGCAATACCTTAAAAAGAGGCCACATTTTTTGTTAATAGAAAATAATTATCTTCATTCAACCTACATGAAATTCCTCGAAGAAGAGCGCAGTGTGTCTGTTCTTGTTGACGAACGCAGGAAACTGAGCCGCGGGTATCGGTTGACGTGTGGCAAGAGGTTTGCTGCTAGATCTGTGAGGAGATCCCTCGATGGAATCAGGGTCTAAGGAATTAGTTTCCCCTAAACTGGGCTTGATGATGGCCACAGGTGGTTTAGGTCTGGTGCTCGTTGGAGGTGTTTGGTCGGGGTTCAAAATGGAGGCGTGCCCGCTGTAGTCATTTTCTGACACAATACATATAGACATTTTTTAAAAGGTCAATTTGACTCCTCTCTTTGAAAGAGGAAAGGCCTAGGATGGTCAAACACAACATCAGCCTATGTACATCACAGCAAATAACCAAAGATATACTTGGTTCCTTACACTTTATTATCTTATTATTTTACACATCTTCCAAAAAGGCTGTCTTGTTCCTGACATGAAGAGACAGCGTAGGGCATAAATGAATAGTAAGAAATCTATGTAGTTACCAAAAAAACAAAAACAAATATGTAGTCTGTTTGTTGTCAATAAGATTGTCATATACATCATGCTATTTTTATAGTTATAATAATTTCACGACACCAATTCATAACGCCAACAGCTGTCGTAGTTCCTCCCCCTGCCCCTCCCAATCAAAACATTGGCCTACCTTCTAAGGACGTGTCTTGAAAATCAGCTGATGCCTGAAATTGATCCTCTGTGTTTTCTTTTTGAGAGAGACTACTATCATTTCTTTGAAAAGAATAAGGAAAAAATGTTTCAATACAAACTACGGAAAGCGAGCAATAAGTGATTAGAAGAGAGCTGGTAAAAATCAGGCTTTTAGAAGTACTTAAAGGTACTGTGTCCCATGTTCAGCCCCCCCCCCTCCCCCAAAAAAGGTTAAATTCCAACGACATTTGAAAAATAATACTAATTTAGAACTTCCCTCAAAACGAAAGGGCTTGAAATTGTCTTTTTGTGGGAAAATATTGACCGTTAGTGTTCGAATCGAATTGAGCGATTGCGGTCGTTCAATCAAACGAATGGTTGTACGTATTGTGCTGCGCAAAGATTCAATCGGTTTTATTTTGGCCATTACAAGAAGTGGGTTATTGATGTAGACAATTATTGCAATGACGAACCTTCGTCATTGCCTTGTTTTCGTTCACGTTATTAATATTCTTGGTTCTTCTTATCGTCCGAAAATCCCATTCGTTTTGCACGTAGTGCTTGTTATCACTCATTATGCCCTTTCCTCATGTCCGTTTCCTTTCAAATTTCATAGGCATAGTCTCTAACATCTCATCAAGGTCACTACATTCTTCGATTTTCGAAATCACTCATGCATAACCGTCCAGGCGCCATTTTGTCCGTTTCTGGTCCATTTTAAGGCCTTTCTTTTTTCCTTCCTATCTCCACTATCCTAGATCCTACAAACTTCTAACAAATTCCTCTAGATAGTCTAAGAGATGTTCTTTTATCTGCGACGTATCACTTGACCTTCAAAATGCAATCTTCGTACTCAAAATTCACATCAGAAACCGTCTCCGTCAAAAATCTCTCAAATTCTTGAAAAATTGACCCCTAATAATCTAAAACTGCCATAACTTCACATCAGAAACCGTCTCCGTCAAAAATCTCTCAAATTCTTGAAAAATTGACCCCTAATAATCTAAAACTGCCATAACTTTCTCATATAAATTCCGTTTTGTATTTAAATCACACAGTATCTTTATCTCATAATTGCACATAGCCATGCCAAATTTCACGCTCCAATGGCTATGCAAAACATAAATAGCGCCCTCTAAAGTTCTGGGAATTGGCTTTCTTTTTATGGCCGTATCTCCATTATGGCTTGGCAGACCCGTACCCTTTTTTGGATTTAGGTGCTTGAAGATATGCCCTTTCCAGCCATATAAAAAATTATATACCCTATCCTTGACCAAATTTGAGAAAATTGCCCTCCAAATTCGCCATTTTCAAGAAAATTGTGAAATAACTTCAACTTGCTCTAAAATTACGATCCTTAGACTTACGTCAATGAAACTTAGCAGACACATGTATTCATATACGTGACAACTGTCCGCAAAGTTTGGTAAAATTCGATTATGTCAGCGCAAAGTTATCGCCAAAAATGATGTATTTTCTATGCCTATGTGATAACGCCTTTAATGCGTGCAATACATTGCGCGCAGATGACAATGGTGTCAAACTGACCGTAATGAAGTGGCCTTTCGAATGATACCATATATGGTATATGTTCACACAGAAAATTGTGAGTAAATTGCATTTGAACAAAGGTCACTACACGAATTCCGCCGAGTTTCCGCCCGAATCTAACACGTATCGGCTATGACGTCATTTTTTTCAGACTGCTTTTCGCCCCTTAAATGTCCTTTTTTTTCCTTGAAAATTTACAGTTGCATGCCAAGTTCCAATACGCAGGGCACCTCATGGCCGGATTTTTGAAATTGGTCAAGGGGGCTATTCAAGACGCCATTTTGTTCTATAAATCTATTTTACATCACGTGTTTCGATAGGATTATCATAGAAAAAAGAGAGTGGTTTACAATAACAAACATGAAATTCTCTTTCCAATGATACCAAATACGGCCCATAAAGAGACATAAAGAGAGAGAGAAAAAACAATTTAACTCCGGTCATAATACAGATCCTGTACGTTTTCCGCCCATGCATTACACGCATTGTCTATGGGACATATCGGGTTCATGCTTTTGGCCCCCAGAACGATCTTCATTGCAATGACGAACATGCAGCAAATCCCATTGGTTTTTGCACGCAGTGCTTGCGAGCCCTTTCTAGGTTTCATCCCCTATCCCAATTTTTTTCAAGCTTCGTAGGCATAGCCACTACCATCCCATCAAGGATACTGTTGAGGCCTTTCTTTCGCCCTACCTGTCTCCAATATCACAGAAGCTACAGACTTCGTACAAATTGCCCTGGATAGTGCGAGAGAAGCTCTTTCGTTTGACACGTAGAAACATGGCGTCATTGCACGCACATCGTTTTGAGACGATTGCATTTCTAGTTGGTCATGTACCCTTTACAGCTCATTTAATGTATGCTATTGCCAAAGTTGCCAAAGAAAGAAAGAAGTCAGTCAGTCACTCAATAGTACCTGACAGTAAAGTCTATAAAGTAAACTGCTAACGTTTGAATATAACAGATAAGACATACGTGACATATTCATAATTCCTGCAAAGTTCTGAAGAATTTGATGCTGGCTGCAAAAGGGATACACTACATTTAACGGTAGTTTATGCGTTAAAGAAAGGAATAGTGAACTATTGGGTGTTGCTAGAATATCCGATGTTCTTCTTCTGTCTGTTCTTTAAGTCCGTACAGCAATAAGTTTCCAACGAAATAATGGTAATGCTATTGGTCGATTACGATATAATTACGGTATACATGATTGACAGCATTGTACATGGTAATTTCTAATGATGACTGAACAAAAGAAAGTAGTTCACAAACCTTCGTCGTCTGAACACGATGATGACTACAATGATGATTATCAAAATGAGCAGAATGGCGCCTACGGCTCCCCCAGCTGCAACTGCCATAGAACTGCCACCACCTTTTAACAATATTTAGGAAAAGTACCGAATTACACATCAGGTTAGGGTTTAATGCCGTTTGGTCTACAACCAGTTCGTCTACTACCCAATTGGTCCATTTCCGAATGGTCTACACCTATCCCGTCTATACTACTCTCATGGTTGATCATTTCGTGTATTTATCATTTGGTCTAATGAACACTTAAGCCATTAGTCATGTGGTCTAAATTCCATTCGGTCTAATCTCCTAAAAACTACTTTCCATTTGGTCTATTGCCCATTTATCTAATTCCAAGTCCGTCTGTTTACCAGTTTGTTTAATGCCCATTTTGTCTACCATTCATAATAATCATTTAATCATTAAATGATTATTATACTTTATGGAAGGTAGACGAGATATCATGAACAGAATCGCAGAGGCTTTTGAAAATCATCCTGGGGCAAATCCCATAGCCAGAAATGTGTGAACATTGCAATGACGCATTGTGTATTTAAATTACCATGAGTTGATTTTCGAAAACCTTTTCAATGGTGTTCAAGATTCTCGAATGGGTTCATTCTAATGTCGAAAGCAAGCCTTCAAATTGCATATGCTTTATCTTAATATCACTGCTATCTCACAACATTCAGAGTGAGAGAGAGGGGTAGGGAGGTAGAGGGATAGGGATTTTTAAAAAAGGGGAGGGGAAAGAGAGGAAGGGACGGATGGAAGGAGAGAATACAAATTAAGATGAGAGGAAAGTGCTTAGAAGGTAGGGGAAAAAAATGTTAGAACCTACCACTTCCTGCTATAAATGTCAATGCTGGTCCTTGTTCTCCTTCACCGTTGATACCATCTCGTATCGCTGCAATCTGTACAGAGTACGTTGTCCCTGCTTCAAGTCCATTTACGTTATACATGACCATCTCATTGGCATTCTCAGCAGACCTCTTTGATACGGAACGGTCCGTATTTTCCACCATGCTTGGGGGTTGTACTTTTTCAGCCAACACGACAATGTTACCCGATCGCACGTATATCCTGTATCCAACAATTGGTCCCTCCCCGGTATCTGAACTAGGGTCCCATTGTCTCCAGCCGATTACTGCGTTGGAATCTCCAAATTCAAATAGTTCTGGTGTACCATTAAAACCTGGTAAAACTGCCAAGGGAAAAACAATCAACACAGAAAAAGTGAGTAAAAATGTATATAACTCATTCATTGTAATTCATTGAACCCTCCCTCCCCCTCCCGACAGCAAAGAGAACAATTAAATAGGTAACGAAACTATTAATTGTGCCATGAAAGCTTGGAACTATTTTTTTCATTATACTAACTGTAATTTATTGCATGTTGTAAATATTGGACATAATCTTGGCAATTGATATGCGAAATAATTGAAACACTAATAACCAAACATGCATAGTAGATAACAACCATTTCAAAAAAAAACTTTTTCATTTCTAGTTAAAACATGAAAGTAGTTCAATATTAAAAACTAAACTAAACACAAAACTGATTAGGTAATGTTAACTATTTGATTTATAAGGTTTTATGTCCGTCATATGTTATCGTTTTGGGGTTGCAATAAAGTGCAATGGGGACTGCTCACCAAAGAAATCTCTTGGAGGTAGCCTTACGAAGGCAAACTCTAAAGTCTCAGGCAACCCGATGAAGCAGTAAATGGCTTCTTCTGGCCCCATATACTCAAGGATAAATGAATTATTGAGGGTTGCTCCTGATGTAACAGAGCTATTGCTAGTTTTCCAGAGTTCCGTTGAAAGCGTCCCGACAGCAGCCTTCACATAATCAGAAGAAAGAGTTTGCCCTGCTGACGCTGTGAAGGAACAGGAGAAGATCGCCACTCCTGGATTGGTCTTCTCCGAGCTCGTCTCAAAACGATCTCAATTTGGTAAAAAAAAGAGGCATATTAGGGACTTTTAGATTTGCATGTTGACATAGTGGACTGCTACGTGTGACGTCCTTTTAAGGCACTGTGACTTTCTTTAAAGGCACTGCCAGTACCTTAAAAAGGATGTCACACGTAGCAGTCCACTGTGTCGACGTGCAAATCTAAAAGTCCCTAATGAAACGTTGATGACAATTCAAAAGACAGGCAGAGAGGAAGAGTTGAGGAGAATAATATAACAAGAGAATGACATAATTTCAAGCATTTTCAAAAAATTAACTTGAGGGCCCTATCCAAACTCCACTCCTACAGGTGTAAAGCACTTTCGGATTTTCTAACATGCCATTGCAATGAATTAATACATTCAATAGGTTATATGCACGAAGCTTTTGTGATTCATATGCCTTAATTTTTGAAGTCTTTTGCAATCGTGTTGAATGTTAATTGTGTTTACTGGTTGGTAAGCTTTAACAAAAAATATATATGTATTCTTCTTTGCTTCACTGCTTGAATGATATAAGCAGCTTAATGATATAAGCAACACAGAATTATTACTGAATGTACGTTTCATATTTAATGAAAACTATATAATATGGAAGAATCGAATCGTGCCGAATTTCTCCATGGAGTTATTAGCCCCCCGCTTCGCCTATAATATACGCGCCTTTTCATAATGGTTTAACTCCATGATTTTTCTAATAATATATTTGAGACACTTGGTAGGGGACACGTATTTCTTTCAATCCTTGCTACCTGTTTGGCATTGATCCCCCATCCATCTTGGATGACAGGTGGATGACAAGCAATCACCAGTCAGAAAACTACAATCCTCAGCACCACCAGAACAATGGCATGTCTTTGAACAAGAGCTGAAACATCCTGAAACTAAACAAGAGAAATAAATTGCCTTAGGAGGAAATATCATTTACCTTAAAAATAGAAATTAAATTGAAAGGAATGCAGGGATATTCCATAATATTGGTGAAAATTTCGATTTTATCAGAATAAACAGATACGAAATATTCAAATATAGTATTATTAAGCATTTAACAGGTGTTTTAAATGGCAAATGTTAATAGTAAACAAATTTAACGATGGGTATTAAGAACAGTTTTTTACCTTGGGGGTGTTAATTATGTCATATCAATGTATTTCAATAATTGTCAGAAAATAAAGATGGAAATGGGTTTGCTAAATTGATACATTGATAAAATGGTGGGGACTTTCATGTGAGCATTCGTTTGTAATCATTTGATGTATTTTGATTTAAAATATCACTAAGAATAATCTTACATGTCATGCAGTTGGCTGGAAACTCGACAGATTCAGTGACATATCCAAAGTCGCACCGCCCTTGGACCTCGTCACAGTGTCCAGAATCTTTATGGCATGCTGTACCATTCTTGCAATTGCAATTCTGTGTACAGTTAGTCCCGAAGTATCCGTTTGGGCAAACAGAAGGAACTAAAATGAGGAATTACGAAAAAATACTTGAACAAAACATAAGTCACAGGCAGTATAGTTAAGAGAAAGACCTTTCTTTAATATGATTACTTACTTTTTCTTCTCAATTACTCTTTGTCATAACGATAAAAACAGGAACAGAATGAAGGCAACAGCATTTTTACTCTGTAAATTGCTTGTCAGTTTTCCTTTCAGAAAGTGGTAGAGAAAATACAAAGATCCTCTTGTTTTCTAGAGATGGGATGAAATCGCTGCAAAGGAATATTCTACAAAAATTGGCTTTTCACATCAAAGTGAAAAGGTATTGCGTTGGTAGAAATAGTCAACATGAAAGTTTGGGACTTACCTCGGGTCTTTTTTACCAAGGAAATATAATCAAAATTATTATATGCACCTTCATAAGTAATTTTCAAGTAAAGTAAATGTTTATACCTTGACATGCTGGTCCGGACCATTCTTGCAAGCAATCTCCAGGACATTCCCCAGTGAAGTCATCACAATCTGCTCCATTAATACAGTGACATTCTTGAAGACAATCAGCTCCGAACATACCAACTAAACATGCTTTAAGACAAAATAAACAAGGTATAAGCAGCCTTGTTGGATCTGTTGAGATATTGTTTAATAATTTTGATCCCCAGAACATTACGATTCGCATGGGACCTTAACATCTTTACGTTAAAGTAATTAACAGGTACTCAGTCTGAAATCCTCATAATTTGTATGCAAATAGATATCCTATATTGATAATCATATACACATATTGAGGTATTACCATTATCATAATTATCTCCAAAGTGTAATCCTTCTCTAATAGTCGATTTCTGGGCAAGGACTTAACTTTGAACCGTGCAACTTGTATATAAACACAAGGTTAAAATACCATTTATATCTTAATGTTTCCGGTTTCTTCCCAATGTCAATCATGATAGAAATCGTTTTAGCACTTACTTTCATTGCAGTAAATTCCTGTATATCCAGCTAAACAGTTACATCCATAAGGATCCGGTAGACAGATCTGACTTCCAGCACACTTGTCCAGAGGCTGACCTGTTCCACATACAAACTCACAGTCCCAGCCAAACTTATGCATCCCACATGCTGCATGAAATATATATAGATATATATGTATATATATGTCAAGAGTGTTTGATTTAGATATAAATCACATGTTCTAAAAGGGTCCTTTTTCCGACTTTCCCCGTTAGTCTTCATAAATATCGACTTTTTAAATTATGTAGGTCCACCAAAAACGCAACTGATTCAACAATTTCACAACATCGAAATCAATTCCATTATTAAGAATTATTTTGTAAAATGAGAAGAGAAAAGCATGTCATGTCCAAAGTTATTACAATCAGTAAAAACAACAATTCTATTGTTTCTTCTTGTTTTGAGGGGAAATTGCTTGAGTCATTATAAACATTGACAAATAAGGATTGATTTAAACTAATAGTTATTAATGGAATGAAAACAAGTAAACAAAAAACAGTTCATCTTCTTACGATGTTCAAGTACGCAATAAAATAATCCATGTTTCATTATTAATATTAGTTATTATTATGTTTATCATCGTTATTAATGTTTTTGCTGTTGTCATCATTATTGATTTATTATATCAATTATCATTATTTTTATTATTGTCATCATCATCATCATAATCATAATTCTTCTTCTTTTTTCCTCTTTTCCTTTTCTTCTTCTTCTTCCCCTTCTTATTCTTATGTTTATTGTTGTTGTTATTATCATTTGGTAATACCATTATGAAATGATTAGTTTCAAATTGTTAAGATTTATGTTAAGGCAAAGAAAGTATTGGACAGAAGAAAAAAGGGTCCTAGTGGTAAAATTTTCTTCAGGGTTTCTTGACGTTACCTTGGAGGCAGTTCTTTCCAGCATGGCCAGGAGGACAGATGCATGTTCCTGAGAGTTCATGGCAGACGCCTCCATTATAACAATTATCACACAAACGATCGCATAATGGTGGATTCCATCTTCCATAAGGGCATTCTGTTAATACAATAAAATATGAACAACTATAATGTATATCCTACACGTGCGTTAATCCCGGGGATTATTATTTTTTTTTAATAGTTTTTTTTTGGTGGTATTACACCCTTCCCACACCCCCACACACACACACTCCTCGGAATAGATTTAGGCTATTGATATCCGAAAACAGGTATAGCTTATGAAATGAAGTGACACAAATATATACACGTTCGGAACCTAAAATGCATAGTGGTTAAAATACCTTAATTATAAAGAAGTGTATCCAAATATATGATTTTTGACAAAGGATAACTTGATTGCTGGAAAAGAGCTGGAACCAAACGCAAAATGGTTGAAAATCAAAAGTTCATTGTAAAAATTTAGAATCCAATCAAATCCAAAAGATATTTGATATAGCGCCTTTTCCTTGCAGTTACAAAGCGCTACCCACACGCTCCACAATGTTTGGGCCACTTAAAAACAAAGGTTACTGACACTTCTCAGAGATCAGAAAAGTATATGTAGGCTGGTAATAAAGTAATTTCTAGCAGAATAGATGTGACTTGAGTATAGAAGCACACCATTAGGACATGAAGCTGTTACATGTAATAGTCCTCGCTTTATATTACAGAAACTGTCATTCAACTACGGAAATTACAACTGAAGATTCATCGATGTTATTTATTCTTTACTGTCTTTTAACCAAAATACGTCTGATCAATTCAATTCGGTTCTTGTTGATTCTTTGTATTCCATTTTAATGACCATTATGAAGTTTATCAAGACAGAAGAGAAAAATTCAATTTTATTTTAAAGTTCCTTGTGAATTTACATCCTTGCGACCAATATTTAATGATATATTTTCGATGTGTACGGAAGACAAAAAATCGAACCCTTTACGATGAGTCTAATGAAGCTGAATTGATGTTGTTCCAACGTTCCATCCACGAACGTCACATACACACCGCCGTCTGCGATAGATGCAGATTGAATTGTGTGTGATAGACTGTTGGAACTCGTTCCAATGAGTGAATTAGCCCAGTCTACATCAGTGACTTTCCGCCATCTTACCCCGTCTTCACCGACCATCCCTGTCGTGCTCATCACACTGAGTGTGATATCATCTCCAATATGTATTGTCTTTGTAAACCGACCATCAATGGGTTGGAATTGACCTTTATAAAAAACAGATAAGAAAGGAAAAATCTACAACTCCTCATATTTGAATTTTTTCTGATTCGGTAATTTTTCGTCATCGCTCCTTTCTTATTCTTTCTCTTTCATTCCTCCCACTCCATTTATTTTCCGTAATGTTTACATGTCATTTACTAAAAGCTGTTAAAAATTTACCGTAGGGAAAAATATTTATAAATAATTATCATTTATGGTATTTTCAGAAGTGTTTTAAATTTGATGTTGATGATGATCCACCGCACTTGTATGGCGCCATTTATCTGTTTCAAACATTCAAAGGCGCCCGCTCCTCCTGTAGCTATGGACTACATATTTGCTTGAAAAGATGGGTATTCAGAACATTTCCTGGTAAAAAAAAATATTTACATTTAGTTGAAGTTTTGTTGTTTTATATAATCGTAAATACTTATGTGTTATTAGATATACGGACGGGCAGAAAGAAGAATGCCAAGAGGAACAGATGTCATTCTACTGGCTGTCACTGAAGAACATTCGAAAAATCCCAAGCCCTCCATAGTAGCTGGCAGAGTCTGCCTTAATAATACAGATGATACAACAATGCTGTCTCCTGGAGCTGTATAACTATCGGCAGTTATATCCTCGGTCAGACGGACGAGTCTTCTGGTAGAGAATGTGAGAATCTCATCATTCTCTGTGCCGAGTAGACAGAGAAATGTGGCATCTTGCAGACCTCCTCCATAGGGTGATGGAGTAGCTGCCATTAGACGTACAGGAAGGATCTGTCGCGGACCTATGAGTAAATCATAATATTTTGTTCAAGTATTTATTGTACTTTGATAAATACACAACGGTGATAATAGGCAATTCCTATATTCCATATGATAAAATATGTGTCCCTTTGGCCTTGAAACAACAGAACTATCATAGATTTACCATAGGTGATGTTCTGTTTAAAGTACAAACCAACTATGGATTCTAAACAGTGGCTACAAGATATTATAATGTAATCAGTCGATATATTGTTTAGTTTGTTGCATTAACAACTTAATGTGAGAAGGTGGAGTATAGACATATTTGAACCTGGACTATTATAAAGGAGCACTCCAGAATATAAAGGATAGAAATATAATGCCAATACTCACTCGGAGCCTTTTCACATGCGAACCTGAGGTAAGATGTACATGGTAGTTTTCTCCATCCATTTTCAACCTGCTGATGAACACATCGTTCTCTTTCGAATAGGGTTGCATTACCTTTCGACCAATCAGGAAATCTAGTTAAAAATATGCCAAACAGCAATGCATAACAAAGTTTTAATAAAAGAAATATTTTAATTTAAACTGCATAATCGTTCCTCTTGTTTGAAAGCGGTGTGACAGCGGTTTGATTTGAGCTGCAGTTTAAATTTACATTAATTAAAATGTAAATGTAAATTTGCCTTTCTTGCAAAACCAAGTTTAGGGCTTTTATGTTAGACTCCATGACGTCCACATGAAAAAACTTAAAAAGTAAAACAAAGTACATGTACAGTATTTCCAATTTTTTTCGAGGGAGGGGGTGCGAAACCGAACCTAAGCTTGATGGATATCAATTCGTTTCTCTTATAAACCTGTTATTAAAGGTAAATTGCAGTTTGTACCATTTGCATTCTGTCTATAACATAATATGATCGCAGTTTATCATGAGTAGGGTATGTAAGATGTTGTGGTACGTGTGTGTGTGTGTGTGTGTGCGGGTTTTTGCGTATGTGTGTGTGTGTGTGTGTGCGTGTGTGTGTGTTTTTGTCTATGTATGTATACTTTAATACATACGTATTATTGTAGAGTGGAGTGCCATCAATCCATTGGAACGAAATCTCTTGATTTAGATTATCGAGTCCAAACCAATACGAGTTACCTTCAGCTAGCTGGATGAGATGCATCTAGAGAAAGTGTAAGAAGGATGAATCAAAAAAGAAAAACGACCAAGGATTATTTCTAATGCGCCCTGGTGCGGTAAGCGTATCGATAAGTCTATAGTCTATGACATTATTGAAAGTTGAAATAAGATATAATTTTATTTCCCTATAATTGGCTCATCACGACGATAATTATTATGCTGCTCTATTACCTTTCTAGCATTTCACGATTGATTTCAAATAACAAAGCATATTTTCTATATCTCTTATATTACTTCCATTGTTTTAATTTAATACACACGCTTGCTAAATTAGAGCCCGTTAAGGTTTTAATCACGTTTTATATTTACGCTTCATAATGATATAGAGATATCGACTGCTTCGAGAGACGAGAGGACTGGCTGTTTTTATACGCTCAATTTCCCGAGAGCCAGTATAGAAACAGCCAGTCCTCGAGTATTAAAGCAGTCGATATCCCTTTAATATGCCGAATTCAAACAAAAATCTACCAAGAATTCTTACCTTATCCTTTTATTTAGTAAAGATTGGTTAAAACATCACGGACAATCTGATAAACTGTCTGTTTATCACCGCCCGAAAAATGATTGAAATTGTTCGATCAGTTTTGAATCGCAGACAAAAAGCACTATGATATCCGCACTCGCTCAAAGAACATTTTAACTTGTAAATCAACGGGTATCGCAGCAAGATTTTTTTTTATTTTTCCGGTAACTGGAATTTTGCCGGGATTTTACTCTTGGACTATTAAATGGTTTTGGAATTTTTCGTTTCTTTACGGGAGTGGCTAAAATCACGACTGCAATTTCGACCAATCAGATGGCTGGATTTCTTAAGTGAGGTATATAAAACCTGTTACATCACAATGGGTCCTTACATTGATTTCTTCTGTTAAAGGCTGGGCAAGATCCCCTCCTTGAGCCTGGCAGTATTTTCTAGCAAACGAATATGACGTCATCGAGGATTGAGAGATATAGTACAGGGTTCCACCAAGGCGACTCCAGTTACTTTCAGGAACATCTACATATCGATTAAAAGTTATAGTTGATGGCGTTATATATATTCATCGTGCTATTACACAGAAAGAGGAAATGATTATAAAGGATAACGTATGATAATAGTCATACTTATGAAAATATTATGACAAGGAGGTCATGGATTCACCAGCCGGCATGGCTCTCTCTTTTAACCCAATTCTCTCCTCCCAGGTGTTGTTGATACCCTGAAGTGTAAAAACGGCTCTTTTGTTTCACTGTGTGCGTCTGTAAAATGACACCTGGCTAGCATACTCCCAAGAGAGTGGAGAATGTGCACACATTGTGTGTATGGTCAAGCCTTGATCCGATAAGGGAGATAATAATAAAACGCTGTGATAAAATTAGTATGCATCGCTTAATAAATCAGGATCATCACTATTATTATATTTGTTAACATGCAAATGCAAATTACCTGTGTATAGACATTATATAGAGTAGACATTTAAACGTTATTGAAGTCAATATTTCAGCATAATAGTAGTAATAATAGCAAGGCATTCACTGGATCGTGTCTTGCCCACCTGAGACCAAATTATATGAATTTTTCTACGCACCATCCATAACCCAGGTTTTTATTGTACTTTATTTGTGACAAAAAATTCTAACAGGTTAACGTTCACATATGACCTCAAATGAGTTGACGTTTGCATGTTCAGTTTTATAGCACTAAACCATTAAAGTCTCTCGAGGGCATGTGTGACCAATGTTTGGTCACAACAAGATTGACGGTTACTTGTCACAAGATAATCTTGCATGTAAGGATAAAATATTAGCCCGTTTTTAATCGAAGCTCCTAGGAATAAATCCTGTCAAGTACCCACTTATTACACCTGGGTTGAGTGTGACAAATGAAAAATTGATGTTCAGGCAAATGGAGGTTAGTGATGCAGCAGAGATAAGATTCATAGGAGTCTTTAAAGTTCGTGAAATGCAGAACTTTGTATTAAAAACCAAGTCGCAATGCATCCTCGCATAATCATTTTTTTTCTTTAAAATCTCGTAACTTAACCCTAAAAAGGCCGGGCTATTTGAGGTCTTAGTATGGCCGGGGGGGCCATTATGGCCCCCCCCCCCCCTAAGATCTCGGCCGCAAAGCGGCCGATCGCCGCGAAAATTTGCACGCATGTCAAGTGAAATGTATAGAATAATATGATAACTTCAATTTTTTGAAAAATTCACTCATTTGCATATTTATGGTAATTTATGCAAATAAAGTCATAAAAATCACATTTTTACCCATAAATCATATATTATTCATATTTAAACATTATTTTTCACAACATTATATTCATTAGACCATTCTGAATAATAATACGACACGAAAATTTGGAAGAGCCAGCTTATTCCTTATGTTATCCATTGTTTTGATAATTTCTTATGTATTTCGTTGTTTTTTTAACTTATGTATTTCATTGTTTTTGTTGTTTTATTTCATTTCTTACTACAATTCAACTATTATGACTCCCAAAACAACCACCTAAACTTTAAACAAGACCCAATAACCTATGTTTGATCTGTTTTTAGGAAAAATGATTTTTCCATATGTTTTGTACACAAATCACGAAAATGAGCGATTTTCGGGCTGACATGCAAAGACAAAAGGTCACGTGACCTTGTAACCGTAGGTCCGATTTTCAACAAAAAAAATTTTAAAGTTGCGCAAGACTCGAGAGAAAAAAGTCAGCGAGCGGCGGGGCGCCATCCATATGCGTTCCCGAGCAATCGGAACAATCGTGGAGGGGGGGGCATAATGGCCCCGCCCCCGGCCTTATTAGGGTTAATTAATATAAAATAAAATCGATAGAACTTTAGGGTTCAAACTTTGAAAAAAAGATTATCCTTTACTTTCGGGTTTTAGCATTTTTTTCATCGTGGTCTTTCAATTGGAAACTTTGCACCGATGGAAACCCCGTGCCTCTAGATCCATAGTCTGGTGACTTATCCACGAGGGCAAAATTCGCTTATTAGGGGGAGGGTTAACATCCTCAAGTTTCTGCAAGTCGACAACTGTAAGGCACTCTTTGAAATGTCTAGTTTCCTTTAACACCCTTCTTATGCACAGCATCAACCAATCTAACCAACCAACCATCTAATCATGCTTCGTCATCACCTAACAGTCCCTGATTGCTTTTAAGCAATTTGAAAGAGAGAACAAAAAATGATGAAAGCGATGAAACAGAAACGATCATACGTGTTAGGTCTAGTTACTCACCCTGATAGCGTTCACATATAAAGGGTCGGTCATCATTACATTGTACATCAGTCCATCCCATGTCAGCATGAGAATAACGTAGAGAGCCACAATCTTCCTCATCAGCGTTGTTGGGTTCAGGATCCCTCCATGCTAAATATCTGTATGTATGGAATGAAGGATAATGGAAAACAAACATATGCAGGAGCATACATACAAATAAACAGTCAGACCGAGTCATATGAAATAATGGTTTTATGAAATATTATTCTTTTTTAGGGGTGGGGTGTTTTTCCTGTGTTTTTTGCATTGTATTTGCATATATGCAATCCGAATTCCAACGTTTGAAGTATAATGAACCATGTACTGTCCTATATAGTGGTTTTTAACTTTCTGGTTTCTCAAACTGGACTTTTGAGCCAAAACATTATTTAAGAATATACTCTCTTAATCAAAACATAAGCTTATCCACAACACGTTTCAATGTAACTCGAAAAAGAATGCATGACATTAATTTATTCAAAAAATAAAGTATGCACTACTGTCTTACTCACATTTTGATTGCATATAACTATGAACATCTTTATTTACATATGATGATGATTTGTATTCATAATTAGGCACTTGGATATGTACAGAAGATAAAAATATTTTTTGCATTACGACAGGCAAAAATCAGCCTTTATTTTGTTATTTTATAACCGACTGCAATAAATTCATTATCACACATAAGTTAGCGATAAAAGCGTTAATTTGAACCCCCGTAAATGATGTTTTCCTGGCATCTACTAACATGCGGAGCATCGTCCACGAGCTGCGTAGCGGCGAGGCGTTTTTTGTTGTTGCTATTTTGAACCCCCGTAAGTGATGTTTTCCTGGCATCTACTAATATCTACTAATACTGTGTGGGTCTGCGCATCACACTTGGCAGCCCAAGGGGGGGGGGTAAACCCCTTCCCCCCCCCCCCCCCCCCCCTCCCCATAGATCCGCCGCTGAGTTCTTGAACCTACTGTAAAGGAGTTCCATCGATCCATGTAAACGTGCCTTCTACAGCTTGGTCAGTCAAACCAAAAAGTACAGGGACACTTAATTCCGAAATTCTTCCATAAAGGAAGGTCTGTTGGGAGGAGAAAAAAACCAATGTCATCTCATAGATCTCATTTGCCTTTCATGTTTCACACTGGCAATTTTTGTCGATGTCATAATTAAAATGAAATAAAAAAAAAAAAACGAATGAAAATTAAATCAACAGAGGTCAATCCCCTACTGTGATCCCAAAAGGCGGTAACTAAAGAATTACAACTCTTCAGGTTCTCAGTAGAATATATTTGAAATAAAAATCATTCGTTCATTTGAAACTGCTAAAAGATACTATGACAAGACTGTACACGCGTAATATATGGTCATGTCAATAAAAACAATGATAAAAAGTAATATTTGTAATATATAAATTAAACTATACACAATTCTGAATAAAAGAACGGACCGGGTTTCTTAATATCATGGTACACACGTGAATGAAATAGCGGAGTCATCAGAGAATAATCTGTTTTGAAATATATTGAAAAGCTTCAAGCCTAAGGATCGGGAATGACAGTGTTTATATGACTCTTATATTATCTCCGCTATCAACTACAAAATCACACTTTTTGGAATGATTTAAATGGGCATTCATGGAAGCCGTCATTCAATCGTGATATTACTTCATGAACATATTTCTTTTTCCAATGTACCATTGCGACAGACCGGCTCAATAGCT